ACCAAAACTGAATCACGATGTAGAAAATTGAAGCAGACTTTTTACTTGCAAGGAGATTGAACCAATAATCAAATTACAGGCAAACTCTACCAAATATTCAAAGAACACTAATACTTCTCAAACTCTTCAAAAAATAAAAGCGGGAACCCTTCCAAATTCATTTTACATGGGCAACGTTAACCTGACACCAGAACCACACAGAGGACTCCACACACAAAAAATCCCAATATTCCTGATGAACATAGATGCAAAAAATTTCAACAAAGTATTTACAAACAGAATTCAAAGACACATTAAAAAGATCATGCAACATGATCAAGTGGGACTTACTTTAGCGAGGCAGAGATGGTTCAGCATCCATAAATCAATCCATTTGATACTCCACAGTAACAAAAAAAAGGTTCAAAGTACAGGAGCATCTCAGTAGATGCTGAAAATGCATTTGGCAAAAGTTCAAAATCCATGTATGATTACAAACTTCAAACAGATGGGCAGAGGGAAAACATACAACATAAAGCAGCATAATATGACACGCACATACCTAGCATTATACTCAACTGTGGAAAGCTAAAAGCTTTCCCTCTAAGATCAGGAACAACACAAGAACACTCCCTCACCACTTTTATTCAACACCAGAGGCCTGGTGCCTGAAATTCGTGCCCAGGGGAGGGGTGTCCCTCACCCTGGTGTGCACCTTCTCCAATCTGGGACCCCTCAGGTGATGTATAGGACCTGCTGGCTCCTAACCACTCACCTGCCTGTCTGCCTGATGCCCCTAATTGCTCTCCCCTGCCAGTGTGATCCCCCCAACTGCTCTCCCCTGCCAGCCTGATTGCCTCTAACTGCCTCTGCCTCAGCCTTGCCACGTGGCTTTGTCCAGAAGGACGTCCAGAAGGATACCAGAAGATATCGGGTCTAATTAGCATATTACCCTTTTATTAGTATGGTATTGGAAGTTCTACCAGGAGCAATTAGGGAGGAAAAAGAAAAGGCATACAAGTGGAAATAAAGCACAACAGTCACTTTTTCAGATGACATGATAAACATATATATAATAGAAAACTCTAAACACTCCATCAAAAATTATAAGAATTTAGTCAGTAGCAAAATATGAAATCAATGTACAAAAATCTGTTGTTTCTTCACTAATAAACTATCAAAAAGAAAAGAAGATAATCCCATTTATAAATGCATCAAAAAATAAAACAACTAGGAATAAATTTAATCAAGGAGGTGAAAGACCATATTGAAAACTATAAAACATTAATAAACTGAAAAGGGCACAGGTAAATGGAAAGACATTTGATGCTTATGGTTTGGAAGAATTAATAATGTTAAAATGTCCATATCTATCCAAAGCAATCTACAGATTCAGTGCAATCCCTATGAAAATTCCAATATCATTTTGCATAGAAACAGTATTTGTAGGGAAGCACAAAATACCCCAAATAGTTAAACCTACCTTGAGAAAGAAGAAGGCTGGAGGAATCACACTCTCCTGTTTCAAACTATATTAGAAGGCTATAGTAATTGAAACAGCATGGTATTTGGCAAAAAAACAGACACAAAAACAGAAATAAATAAAATATAAACTAAAAAGAATACAGAAAAAATCAATTAAACTAAGAGCAGTTTCTTTGACAGGATAAACAAAACTGATACATTGCAGATAAACTTACACAAAAGTTTATCTGCAATGTATCAGGCTTGATCTCCAGTAGGGGCTTGCAGGAGGCAACTGATCAATGATGCCGAGTTTCAGGCTTGATCTCCAGTAGGGGCTTGCAGGAGGCAACTGATCAATGATGCTTCCTTCTCTCATCAATAATTCTCTCTCTCTCCCTTCCTCTCTCTTTAAAAATCAATAAAAACATGTTTTTAAAAAATGGGCAGAAGATCTGAAAAAACATTTTCCAGAGAAGACATTTATTTATTTCTATATTATTTTTTTTATTTTTAAAATATTTTATTGATTTTGTACAGAGAGGAAGGGAGAGAGATAGAGAGTTAGAAACATCGATGAGAGAGAGTCATCGATCAGCTGCCTCTTGCACAACCCCTACTGGGGATATGCCCGCAACCAAGGTACATGCCCTTGACCGGAATCGAACCCGGGACCTTTCAGACCCCAAGCCGACGCTCTATCCATTGAGCCAAACCGGTTTCGGCAATTTATTTTTTATTTTTTTAAAAATATATTTTATGGATTTTACACAGAGAGGAATTGAGAGGAACAGAGAGTTAGAAACATCGATGAGAGAGTGATCAATCAGCTGCCTCTTGCGCACCCCCCACCAGGGATATGCCCGCAACCAAGGTACATGCCCTTGACCGGAATCGAACCCGGGTCCCTTCAGTCCCCAAGCCGACGCTCTATCCATTGAGCCAAACGGGTCTCGGCCAGAGAAGACATTTAAATAGCCAACAGTACCATATGAAAAGATCCTGAACATCATTAATCATCATGTAAATATAATAAAAACCACAATGAGATATCACCTCACACCTTTTGACCAATATCAGAAATAATAAGTGCTGGCCAGAAAGTGGAAAAGGGGGAACCGTGGGCACTATTGCTGAGAATGTAAATTGGTGCAGTCACTATGTAAAATAGTGTGGCAGTACCTCAACAAATTAAAAATGGAGCCGAAACCGGTTTGGCTCAGTGGATAGAGTATCCATAGGCCTGCGGACTGAAAGGTCCCAGGTTAGATTCCGGTCAAGGGCATGTACCTTGGTTGTGGGCACATCCCCAGTAGTGGGTGTGCAGGAGGCAGCTGATCAATGTTTCTCTCTCATCGATGTTTCTAGCTCTCTATCCCTCTCTTTTCCTCTCTATAAAAAAAATCTATAAAATATATTTTAAAAATAAATAAAATAAAAATGGAACTTCTATATGACCCAGCAATTCAATTTCTGGGTATTTATCTGAAAAAAAACAAAATACTAACTGGAAAAGATAAATGTTCCCCTCACCCCCCAATGCTCATTGCATTATTATTACAGTAGCCAAGACATGGAAACAACCTGCATGCATCCATGGATGAATGGCTAAAGAAACTGTGGTATCTATAATAATAGAGAATAAATCCTAGGAGTTCACATCACAGGGGAAAAAATGTATTCTCTTTTTTGTGTGTGTGCATCTTTATGAAATGACAACTAAACTTATTGTGGTAGTCTTCTCAACATATGTACGTCAAATTATTATAATCTACACCTTAAACTTATACAGTGCCATATGTTAATTACAGCTCAATAAAACTAGAAAAACGGCAGAGTTATAAACATTATTAAATTTTATTAACAAAAACTTTGTACATTTCCTTTAATACATGTGGAATTTTACATCTAGGTAAAATAACAACACATTCAAAATTTGCCATTTATACAAATTGTTACAGAATAACCATCAGTGGGTTAAATAAGTAAAATAAACCACACCGATTTTTTAAATTATCTACAAAAGATTTTACTTTCTTTAAAATTCCCCTGAACATATAAAAATAAATTAATTTTACTTTTCAATTAAATCTACTAATTAGAAATATTACAAATCAAAATATCAATGTTATTTTATGAATTTTTCACAATACAAAACAGATTCACAAACTTTATTTACAGAAATGAGGTAAGAACTGTGCGATGTTTAACCGAGAGATACTGCAGAGTTAACATGTCCTTCCAGCTAAGCACACAGTGGAGGTCTAATTAGAGCTGGGTCTTTCCCACTAATAACTCACACATGTAAGAACAGTTCAATGATTATGTCCCCAATTGTTTAATTTATAATAGCCATCCTGTCAGACCAGGAGGGTGGCTACCCAAAGTAGGTCTGTCATACAGACTTCACCTGTTTCAGGAACTGTAGCGGTGGTTGCTTGTCTTATTTTGTTTGAAATCAATATCAGAAATGGGAAAAGTTTTTAAATTAAAAAACAAAAATTCTTACCAAATCCACTCATTTTTCTTGTGACTCATTAGTGGATAAATACCCAGGTGATAGTTTTGCCTGAGCTACCTACGGTGGCATAGAAAGTTTTTAATAAAGGCGGAACCATGGGGAAGGCTGCTGGTGTAACACTGACTATCCCTGCTACTCACAAGGACTGACTAGAGTGTGGGATAGTGAAGCTCAGCTGGTCAGAGCCATTTCAACAAAATGGAGGTACTAACAGGCACTTGATTCAGGCCAAACCCTACCATCAGTTTCCAGAGTGGCCCCTCTTTCTGAAAGAAATCTTTCACTTTGAATCGATCTTGTTTCCCCAGCAGCCTTAGAACTCACTTAACTCAAAGCTTTGCTGAAGTATGAGTAGGTCTTAACACTAAAGAAAAAGCATTTATCAAAAGAAAATTACCTTTAACATAAGCAGACATTACCCTCCTAACTTGATTACCAAAATTGGCAAATCCCATTAGAAAGGAAATTTTTATGACAAAGATTACCAAGTCCCTGTTCATGACATATTTATTTGCAATAACCAATAAAACTCCAGAAGAAATTGGACAGTTCCTTGAAATTTGTTTTGATTCAAAGAGCAAGCACACTGTAATCCAAACAAAATTATTACCCAGACAAGCTTCATTCCAACTTGTACAAGATATAATAGTTTACAAATGAAGCAAGTCTTTAGTTTTGCTGTTCATCTCTCCAATTTGTAACAAATTAGTTGTGTACCAACTATATTAAATTTCTCTTAGGTTGATAAACTCATTGCATGTAAATTATTTCACTGACAAAAGTTAGTTACTAAATTTTCTTTCAAAGTTCAAAAAATCTGAGTGAGGGGAGGGGGACATGGGAATTCCATTTCAGTGCAACAAAGCAACAAGAAAATTAATCAAAGCCTTAAAAGAATGTCCTTGTGGCAATTAGTCCTTTGTTGTGCGGTTAGATTCTTGCTGCGCTTCTTCATAGGTGTAGTAAGAGGACTGCAACAGCAGCCAATGAAGTGCTAGGACAGCAGGACAAGCAATTTCTAGCGGTTTCTCAACTGTCAACTTTTCTCTTGAGCAACTGGCCCAGATTTATCACTAAGTCTCTGCAGTTAAAACAAACAAAATCAGATGCATTAGCTAAATCAATTTCTGGCCCACATTTGCGGTAATATCATCTAAATTAAAATCATAAGTGAGGTTAAAAAGTGGTGTATACGGTTATTCATTTTATAAAAAAAATATGTTTTATTGATTTTTTTACCGAGAGGAAGGGAAAGGGACAGAGTCAGAAACACCTATCAGCTGCCTCCTGCACACTCCCCCCTAGGTATGTGCCCGCAACCAAGGCACATGCCCTTGACCGGAATTGAATCCGGGACCCTCCAGTCCGCAGACTGACACCCTATCCACTGAGCCAAACCAGTCAGAGCTACGGTTATTCATTTTTTTTTTCTATAAGTCAACATGGTTATTTTTTTTTTTAGCATAATATAAAGACATACATTTACTAGTAAACATTAGTTGTCTTATAAAATTCAGTGGTAAACAAAGTCAGAAATGCCCATTGCAGGAACAGAACTCATAAGGAATGAAAGTAGAAAGCATCCCCTGAAGTTGACTTTTCCACAGAAGTAGTAAAATGGTATTATGAAAAATGAAATTTTTATGGACTAATAGTCATGGGTTCTTATGTGACATGTGCCTTTTATCCTTTGATCTTTAACTCTTTGAGTATACTTTTATTAAATTAATAAAATTGAGGTTACAGCTCATTATTATTTTAAAGACTGAAATCCTGCATACTATTGTATCTAGCCTGGTCAGTGTAACTCAATATTTAGAATGTCAGCCAGCATACCGAAGAGTTCAGGTTCAATTCCCAGTCAAGGGCATGTACCTGGATTGTGTGTTCACTCTCAGAACCCTGGTGGGATGCATGTGGGAGGCAATCAGTCAATGTGTCTCTCTCACATTGATGTTTCTCTCTCTCCTCCTCTCTTTCCCATTCCTCCCTCTCTTCCACTCACTCTAAAAAGCAATGGGAAAAATATCCTCAGATGACAATAGAAAAAAAAAAAAAAAAAAAAAAAAGATGTCTAGCCCTAGCTGGTTTAGCTCAGTGATAAAGTGTCAGCCTGCGGACCCAAGGGTCCCGCGTTAGATTCCTGTCAAGGGCACAAGCCAGGGCTGTGGGCTCAATCTCCAGTAGGGGGCGTGCAGGAGGCAGCCTTCGAATGTTTCTCTTCCATTCTCCCTTCTCTGAAATCAATAAAAATAAAAAATTTTAAAAAACATGTCTAACATATAGCAGGTATTTAAGAAGAAATTACCAGGAGAATAATGTATTTTTTTAAATGGGAGAGATCAGAGAGAATAATCTCTAATTAATCAATAAAATTCTTATTTATTAACAAAATTCTTATTTCACTAGATATAATAATACAAAGATACTTACTGTTCCTTTCTGACTTGCATTATCGCCATGGATGGTGAGAAATGGGTTGGTGGTAGCTGGGTGAAGTGGTGCCTGAGTACCTGCAAGCAGGTTGTTGATCGGTATCTGTGTTGGCCCAGAGATCTGTAGCTGCTGCAGTTCAGGCTGGTGGTGGTGCTGGTGGTGCTGCTGCTGCACTAACTGATACAGAAGGGCCTGATGTTGCTCCTTAGGTAAAGACATGTGAGAGAAGATGAGTTCCCTGTCACAGAATTCAGCAGTCAGTAAAGCCTGCCTTTTCTATTTTCTTCTTTATTTTTTATCACCTGAGGATACTTTTCCACTGATTTTCAGAGAGAAAGGAAGAGAGAGAAATATGAACGTGAGGCATGTTGATTGGTTGCCTCTGCATGTGCTCAACTGGGACCAGGGTTCAAGCTTGCAACCATGCCCTTGACTGGAACTGAAATCGTGACTCTTCAGTTCGTAGGCAGATGTTCTATCCACTGAATTAAACCAGACAGTGCTACTTTCTTCTTTAATATTTAAATGTAAATTACATTCATAATACTAAGAAAGAAAACTAGCATCTCATCTGGAAAGATACACTGCACTAGGTAGTAACTGTCTATACTAATAAAAGCCTATGTGGTCATCATGCCCTCAAGCCCGCACACCCTCATGCCATAACAATCCATCACCAGGAGGCGGCGTGCACAGCAGGCATGCGCAGGTGGGCAGGGACCTGACGCTGCGTGCGGCACAGAGGTGGTTCTGGGCAGCTCTGTGCGGTGACAACAGGAGCGGGACCGCCAGGTCTGGCCTATTTCTTTGGGGCAATCCATTAAGGAGCCCCGGATAGGTGGGCAGGGCCTACCTCTTTGGGGAGATCGATCGCTGGATTGCCGCAGTGTTGAAAGGGCACAAGCCAGGCTGGGCACTGCCCCGAGTGCACAAATTTTGTGCACTAGGCCTCTAGTCTAATAGAAAATGTCAATAACATCAATGAATGGCTTATTTTCAGAACAGGCAAACAAATACAGACGACCACTATTCTAAAATTAGGTTATCCATGGAAATCAAGAACAGCAACCTACAGAACTCAGAAGTGATCTGTATTTGACTTTAGAATGAACTTGCCCTTGACTATATGGGTCAAATCCTTCCTCTAATTCTGGGAACTTATTCATGCTGACAGAAAGCGTACTTTTTTTTTTTTTTATGTAAATAAGACTACTTTTTATAGCAAGTATATAATTCATTTCTTGAGTTATTACTATGTGCCAGGAAATGTTTTGAGACATGTATTTTGTGCTTGAGACATATGAGGATGGGAACCTCTGACCTTATATATAGTCCACCCTGGGGGGAACAGGAAGAAACCAACAAATATATTAGAATATGATTATTGCTAAAGGTTAGGGAAGCCCTGGATGGTGTCGCTAAGTGATTAGAGCATCAACCTATAGAAGCTAGCCCTTAAAGGTCTCGAATTTGATTCCCAGTCAAGGGCACAGAGTTTGGTTGCAGGTTCTGATCTGAGGCAACCATTTGATCTTGATCTCTCTCTCTCCCTCTCTCTCTAAAGGTAAACCAATTAAAAAAAAATTAGCCTAGTCTATTTGGCTCAGTGGCTAGAGTGTCGGCCTACAGACTGAAGGATCACGAGTTTGATTCCATTCAAGGGTATGAACCTCAGTTGCAGCCTCAATCCCTGGCCCTGGTCAAGTCAAGTGCAGGACGCAACCAATCAATGTATCTCTCTCACCTCAATGTTTCTCTCTGTGTGTCTCTCCCCTCCCTAAAAATCAATGGAAAAACAAAACAAAAAATAAAAATAAAGGTCAGGAGAAAGAGAAGTGTGTGAGTATGGTAGGGGTGGGGTCATATGAAATGGATTGGTCAGGGGAAGGGGGTATCTAGGCAGATGGAACAGCCATTGCTAAGGAGCTATGTCAGAGAACATCCAGTATGATCAAAGAAGATAGCAAGGCCAGGGATGCTGGAGTGGAGGGAGCAAGGAGGAGGAAAGAGAATACAGCAGTAAGGCTTTTCCTCATTGAAATGGGAAGCCAGTGGGAGGTTTTGAGCAGAGGAGAGATAGAACCTGACTTAAGATTTCTTGATGGAATCAATGTGAGACATCAGAGGAAGAGGAATGAAGGATGACTAAGGTTTTTAGCTGAAGCACAGGAAGAATGGACTTGAATGGACTTGCCATCAGCTGAGGAAGGGAAACTGTGTGGAGTGGGTGTGTGGTGGAAGATTACCATGTCAGTTTGGACATATTGTGCTTGAAATGTCTAGCAAGATAGCCAAGTAAGCAGTTAGGTAAAATGTTTAAAATTCCAAAGAGAGGCCAGGGCTGGAGATGCAAGTACATATATATATGAAAGGTATTTAAAGCTAAGTGACCAGAGATCACTGAATTCTGAAACACAATAAGGAGCTGAGGAGGAGAGAAGGACCCAGGAGAGGAAACCCAGTTAGGTAGGAAAACAAGATAATGTGGTGCCATGGAAAGTAAGGTCAGAAAGGGTTTCAAGGAGAAAGGAGTGATCAGTTCTGTCAAATGCTGTTGCTAGTCAGGTCAAGTGAGATGAACTAGAACTGAACACAGGACTGAGCAATATGAAGGTCACCAGGAGGGGATAATAAGCAGAGAAATAGGGTAGCAGCTGGCGGGGGCTATAGGTTCAAGCAAGAGTTTTTCTTAAAATGTGAGAAAAAAGTGTGCCTTATAATAAAATTCTTGCTTACATAAATGAGCAAGCTTTACCGGTTTCTGAGCAACAATTTGTGCTAAAAATTCCTTAACCATGTTCTGGAAATATCACATCAATATGTGCTATTATTAGAGTAAAAATATTAATAGGAAGAATTCCAAATAAACTAAATTTTAGTACTTCATATTAAGATGAGGCATGAGATAATAAAACAAGATCACATTTTAGTGTAAGCATCTAAGAATTCATATACAACTCTGGCTGGTATTGCTTAGTAGTTAGTGTTGGCCCACACACTAAAGAGTCTCCGGTTCAACTCCTGGTCAAGGGCATGTATCTTGGGTTGTAGGTTCAAATCCCTGGCCCTGATTGGGGGGAGGATTTAGGAGGCAACCAATCAATGTGTCTCTCTCACATTAATGTTTTTTTTCTCTCTTCCCCTCCCCCCCCTTCCATTCTATCTTAAAGCAAAGGAAAAATATCCTCAGGTGAGGATTAACAACAACAACAACAAACATATACAATCTATCTTTGTATCACTATAAATATAGTAAGAGTAAAAATGTCTTAAAATTAAAACAAATATTTTCAGCATATTTTTGACTAAATCAAAGTAGTAGGTCAATATATTTTACAAAGAAATGATAAAGGCTGAAATTCTGAGTTCACCAAAGAGTACCTTGTCCAGGTAGTCTAACTTAATGAAATGTGCTAAGGAAATGAAACTGGAGAAAAGTCACACAACCATATCAACTTGGTCTCACTTTACATTTATGTTTACAGAGGGTCAGTCAGTGCAGCCCTTGTCTGTGAGCCACACACTTCCTTTCACATGGGTCTTAGTTAATTCTTTCTCCCTTTTCACCAAGGTATTTATTCCACATCATCTTTTTTTTTTTTTTTTTAAATATAACATATTTGTGTTGATTTCAGAGAGGAAGGGAGAATGATAGACAGAGGTGATGAGAGAGAATCATTGATTGGCTGCCTCCTGTACAACCTTCCTGGGGATCGAGCCCACAACTGGGAACTGAACTGTGACCTTCTGGTTCATACATCGACACCCACCATTGAACAACACAAGTCAGGCTGTTTCATATTCTTAAACACCAATACTCCATTCTCCCTCAGCTGATAACTTCACTTATAATTTAATTAAAAATTTAAAACATTAAAAGTGCATTTCCTCAACCTCCTATCAAAAAATCCACTGACAACTGCTCTGCCTGCTCTCTTCTTAGAACACAACGCTACACTCAGCTTCTCTCCTTTCTTAGGAACTTTATTGTTCAGGCCCTATCCTTCCCTCTCCTGCACCAGAAATTAACCCGCTGACATACTACATGCTGTCATGTTAATAAAGAATAGAAACTACCTCCCTAGACCATGTCTTTCTTCTGTTAGGTGCCCATTTCTCTGCTTTTTACATAAAAATATCTTCAGTTGTCTCTATGCTACCTTCACTTCTCCTCCTCCCATTTTCTTTTGAACCACTCAGTGAGGTTTCTACTTCCCACCAAAACCGCATTTGTGAAAAACTTCTAGACAGTTACATCCAACGGTCAGTTTTGCTTGTCTTTCCAGAGGCATCTTACACAGCGAAGTCCTTTCTCGGCACATTTTCTCAGTTCCCTCCTAACTCAACGGCCACTTTCTTCCTAGCTCCTTTACTAGGTTATTCTCCTTGCCCAGGATGTCCAGGACTGCCTTCAGATCTTATCCAATCTTATGAATCTGTACATCACATATGCAGCAATGACCCCAAATTTATATATTCAACTGCATTCTTTCCTTGGACTCAGACTATACAACTGCCTATTGCACAACTCATCTAAACAGACATCTTAAACTCAGTATGCTCACATCAGACTCCTGTTTTCTCACTAAAATCTGTTCCTTCTGGTCATCCAAATCTCAGTAAAAGTCAACATCCAACTGTTTAGGGCTCTTCTTTTTCTTGAATGTCCAACAAACTGGACTTGTTGGTTCTAACTTAAAAATATACAATTCTAGCCTTGGCTGGTGTTTCTCAATGGTTAGAGCATTGGCCTGCATACCACATGGTCATGGGTTTGATTCCTGGTCAAGGGCACATACCTGGGCTGCAGGTTTGATCCTGCCCCATTGTGGAAACATGAGGCAGCCAATAATGTGTCTTTCTCACATCACTGTTTCTTTCCCTCTCCCCTCCCCTCATTCCTTCCCTTTCTCTCTAAAAAGGAATAGAGAAAATATCTTTGGGTGAAGATTAATAACAACAACAAAATTTCAGACAGATTTCTGCCTCATTTATCGCGCTATTTTAAGAAACCAACATCTACCGAGACTGCTCCTGTTTCTATTCTTGCCACCATCTCCCCTCCTAATATATACAATTTTCCATAATGCAGCAGCTAAACTCATCTCATATTTTAAAAATGTGATTATTATGTCACTATTCTGTTCAAAGCCCTCTAATTAATTACTTTAAATAATCCAGAAAAAAAAAAGTGAGAATATGTATATTTTTTAAATTCTTTAAAAAAAACTTTTTAAAAATTTGGATAATTATTAAAGCTAGGTGATTAGTATATTATACTGTCTATTAGTACACTTGAAAATATCCATAAAGAAATTTTTTTTAAAAAATCACCAATGGCTTTCCACCGCACTTAAGATAAATCTAAATTTCTTGCCACAGACAGCCAAACAAGACATTCTATGAACTCTGGATCAAAAGCATTTATCTGACCTCTTTCCTCTGTATGAGCCTCTCTCATTCTGAAGTATGCCAGCCGTTTTTCTAGTCTCAAAAACATAAACACACAGCTGAGGTCTTTACAACTGCTATCCCTCTAAACACACATTCCTGGAGTGTGCTTTCTTGTCTATTCCCATGTCAGAAAGTCATGCTTCTTCAACTTGTATTCAGATCTGTGCTCAAAAGTCACCTACACAAGAAAGCTGGACCATCCTATAAAAATGGCCCTCATGCCACTGTTCTCTATTGCCTCATCCTGCTTTATTTTTCTTCTCAATATTTATCACTACCAAAAAGTATGTATTTATTGTCCATTTCTGTTATCAGAATGAAGCTCATGAAAATACAAAATCTTGCTCACCACTCTATCCCAGAATCTACCAGAGTACCATAGCACATGTTCTAATATTTGTAAATGAATTAATATAATGTCACTACAGGTATTGTAGATAATATCAAATGATAAGACAAACTTTTTATATTTTGCATCCCATAATGTTATTTCACAAAATGTATAATCAATAAGGCACACTGAATATCTATTATAACTTAGATCACATTCTCTTAATAAAAATAAAATATTATCAAAAGGAAGCACTTACTGGAGTGAGCTGTTGAGAATTTAACAACTGCTGAAATTGCTGTTGATGAAGAAATATTTGTCTTTGCTGGTCAGAAAGTAATCCTAGTCCTGAGGCACTGAAAAAGATTAAAATTCTTACTTTCTACTTTTTTTTAAAAAAAATGTGTTGTTTTTTTAAAATGTAAAATGAAAGACCACTCTTTGATTTGATGTTTCATAAGTTAAGTCAAGTTTTTAATTACAATACTTTTTGGAAACAATGATGTACAAATTTATTTCTGTGTGCATATGTTTGTGCACACACATGTAAGCATGCATACAGATAAGTAAGTAAATAAGAATTCACATTGTCGAGAAATGTTTTGTTTTCCTTTTTTATTGTAAACCAAACAGGCACTAAGTTATCTTATGGAATAGAAATTTACATGTGTTCTTAACATGCACATGTAATAATTTATTCTTAATTATTCAAGATTCATTTAACCCTCACTAACACATATTTAAAACAAGAAATAACCCAAACATATTGAGTGATTTGACCTAACCTTTTTAAATAGTCCCAATGATCAGTAAAATTAAGCACCAATGAAGAGAGCCATAAAGAAGTTTGCTAGTACCCACTGAATATCCATTTAAAGTGATTTATTCCTCAAAAGTATGTTCAATAACATGATCTTAGTCTCCTTATTCTGAACAAACATTCACATAAAATTCTAGTACAATAAAACAGAGAGTCTCACTCCCTAGGTATTCAAGATAAATATTTAAACCTTCATCCTATAGCAAAGAATTTTTATTATAAAACTAAGGAAATTACATAGCTCAATTTTAAGAAACCAATATTCTTATGTGATCTTCATTACAATATTTCTTTTCTTCAGAATTTATGATACATGAAGGCAACATACACAAGGATAAGAAAAATTAGTATTTAAAATATACATCACAGATCAAGACTAAAATTTTCAGCACAGAATATATTTAATGTTTTGTTACTAAAGTGGTTTAATTTTGCTTTATTCAGAGTAAGTTAAGTTTCAAAAATAAATGGCTCTCAGTATAATATGCTTAGTTTAAAAGTCTGGTGGACTTTAATTTCTTAAAGTACATCTACAAGCAGCACATAAAAATCCCTATCTAAAACATGGACAACATGATATTAGGTTGCACTGAAAAACCTAAAATATATTTAAGTTTCTCACCTGTTAGTCAGTGTAGCTGGCATTGGATGAGTTGCATTAGGTGGTACAGTTGTATGGGTGAGGGGGGTAGGGTTCTGGGATATTGTGACAGGAGTCTGAATAACCCCATTTAAAGCTCCTACAATGCCATTAATTGCCAGTTGGTTACCTGGCAAAGCTCCAATTATCCCACCCACTCCAGGAACCGCAGGAATGGTGGATGTTACAGTCTGCATTCCACTAGCCAGGGCCCCCACCGTCACACCATTGACCTGCTGAACTCCACTAATGCTTGGGCCCTGCTGAGCGGGACTCTGCCCAGCAGGAGGTGGAGTAGAAAGAGCTGATGAGCTGCTGGTGCTTTGTCCACTGGAGGTTAAGTCCTAATGGAAGAAAAAACAGAAATTTAAATTGTAAGGAACACAGAAAAACTATTAAAAATAATTTAAAACCATTTAATGTGATATGCTATTGTTTGTAAGTAAAATACACAAATTAAACTAACCACACCAAAATTACCTGATTTAATACAGGAAGAGAATTCTCAGGTAAAAAGCTGTTTCCTAGATGAGGGCTCTTACTGCTGTTCAAGGAATCAGTAGTAGGAGCTAGAAAAAGAAAAAGAGAAATAACCTATTTTCCCTGTTAAATTACATCACGTATAAGATTAAAGGCTTATCTAAACAGTTTATCCTGAAGCCTCCATGAAAAACATATAAAAATTAAGTTTTGCTCTTCCTAACAGGTCTTTAAATAATAATAAAAATCTTTATCTCTATTGAATATCATGGCTTTAAATCAATAAAAAGATCATTATACATTTAAATAAAATTTATCATTAAGTTATGTGATAAATTTGGAACAAGTTCATCACTTAACAGGATTCTTTATGCTCTTTGAAATAACCTATCATTCCTTTTCAACACCTTTATATGTTATTATATGTTATTATTCACTTATTTAAAAGGTATTAGAAGTCTAGCCTACTTTCCATAGATACACGATAAACATTTTCATACCATTCTGTGCTGAAAATGCATGAATTTGATGAGATGGACTAGGATTTGTTGTTATTGCTGGAAAAGGCACTGAGAGCTGTGCATTCAACAACTGAAGGCGTTCCTTTTTGGCAGTTAAGTTTTTAATTTGTTCTTCTAATCTTCGATTTTCAACTTGAAGTTGGTGTAATGATTTCAGCATTCCTAAAACTAGTAAACATTTGGATAGTTTTTAACAAAGACAAGTTCATACACAGGGCTAAGTACTTTAAGGTCGCAAGTGTCAATAACTTTAGAAATAAGTTGAAATAGAAAAATAGAAATTCTGTAAAGCATTTCTAAATTAGGTTTTATTCTTAAATTTATATGTAGTTATAAATATACCATAATATATTTGTACATATATAAGCATAACCAAAAATGCATCCATCTGGTGCAGGTAATTTCCTTCTCAAAAAAAAAAAATTATTTTCATCAAAATAAAAACCTAGTTAAAAATCAAAGTGCTGCCGAAACCGGTTTGGCTCAGTGGTAGAGCATTGGTCTGCGGACTGAAAGGTCCCAGGTTCGATTCCGGTCAAGGGCATGTACATTGGTTGCGGGCACAGCCCCGGTAGGGGGTGTGCAGGAGGCAGCTGGTCGATGTCTCTCTCTCTCATCGACGTTTCTATCTATCTCTCTCCTTTCCTCCTCTCTGTGAAATATCAATTAAAAAAAAAAAAAGTTTGCTATTTAAAAAATAAACAAATAAATAAAAATAAAAGTGCCATTTTAGATAATTTTACATTAAGAGAGAATCATGCCGAAACTGGTTTGGCTCAATGGATAGAGCGTCGGCTTGGGGACTGGAGGACCCGGGTTCGATTCCGGTCAAGGGCATGTACCTTGGTTGCGGGCATATTCCCAGTAGGGGGTGTGCAAGAGGCAGCTGGTCGATGACTCTCTCTCATCGATGTTTCTAACTCTCTATCTCTCTCTCTTCCTCTCTGTACAAAATCAAATAAAATATATTTTTTAAAAAAAGAGAAAGAATCATAACAATATCCTTCACCAGAATAACCACCTTACGCTTTTGTTTGCTGCTTGGTTAAGTATGCTATCAGACAAGTGAGGAACCCCCAAACCCAGCTGCTCAGAATGCTAATGCACATATCTCCCAGCAGGGGGCAGTGTGTGTGTGTGTGTGTGTGTGTGTGTGTGTGTGTGTACTGCAGGCCCCACTCCCAGCTGCTCAGATGCTAATGCACACATCTCCCGGCAGGGGGCAGTGTGTGTGTATGTGCACTGCAGCCCCCACTCCCAGAGAAGGCTTAGTTTCTGTCCTGCTTCATCACCTCAAAAACAAAAACGAACAAACAAACAAATAACAACAACAAAATACTCTGACCCCTAGAATGACAACACAGAGTGCTACTGTTATGCCACAGTGACAGACACTTTTAAAAGTTCTATGCCTTAAAAAGTTGTATTTGCTTAACACGCCCTTAGGGCCTTAAAAAGATACAATTTACTAGTACAAACACATATGGTCATTTCCCAAGGATTTAACTTTTATCCCTCCTCTTCAAAATCCCACGAAGAAATTCTTATGCACCCAAATGAGATGCAATAAGACTAAGCAAAACCTGTTTTCCAGCTATCATTTAAAGGATTATCCCAGCATGAATTTTCTTAAAACAAGCATTTTTTTTTAATGTCATGGCACCATTTATAAAAATACAATTTATGGCACTTGTCTAACTAACAATAAGCAAAACCTATTTTATATATATAAAAGTCTAAGAAACCATTACAACGGGACTATAAGGACTGGTCGTTATTATGTGCACTGACCACCAGGAGGCAGACGCACAACGCAGGAGCTACACCCAGCCTACAGGCCCCAATCGCCCATAGGGCCTTGCCAGCCAACCTCCTGGTCTGTTGGCCTCTGTGCTGGGATGGGGAACCAGGGATGGGTGGCAGTGGATGTGGCCCCTTTCCCAGGGGACTGAGGGCTGGCTCCCTCCTTAGGGCTAGCAGCCAACCTCCTGGGTCCCTCCTCCTGTCCCTTTCCCAGCTAGCAGGTCCCAATTACCTGGCCAGGGCTGGCCTGGGCTGGGCCAGGGAACTAGGGGTGGGTGGTAGCAGATGCAGGTGGTGAGGGAAGGAGGCGGCGGGGAGCGGGGAACCAATCGGCCCTGATTGCCGGCCAGGCCTAGGGAACCCACCAATGCACGAATTTCATGTAATGGGCTTCTAATGTTTTAATAAAATAAAGCAGCAAAAGTTTATATCCCAAAATATAAAAACCACCTATTCCTCATCCTGTCCCCAAACACATCCTTAACACTAGGCCATGTTTCCAGCTAACCACCACCTATACTGTAACTTTGCTGTTTGGCATTTTTTACCCATGGTCTCCCTGTCAATACTTAAAATTATAAAGATAATTAATATGTATATGTAACATATATTATAGAATTTAAAAAGTAAGTGATACGTAGTATATAAAATTATATATATTATTTACATATATATAAGTTGGTCATTATTATTCTTTCTCATACAAATTATAAAATCAAGATAGTTGACATACTTGACTATATGCACTGTTTACAATAAATTCTCCTAAGATGAGCAACTTTTATTCAAATTAAGCTAAGAAAAATATAACTAGTGTATTTTAGTAAAAGTTAAAATTTGATCAGAACAAAATACAATGAAAAGCAATGCATCCATGTTATAATAATTATAAATAGTAACAATGACCAGTGAATAGATTAGAGCTTTCTATGAGTCAGGCAATGTTCCTTACATTTTTTATGTCATTTAATACTCAAAATTATGATACAGATACATTATTACTCCCATTCTACAAATGGGAGAATAGAGCACACTGACATTTAAGAAAATTACCCATGACCTGTTAAAGTATGTAAAGACAGGATATAAGATCAAGCAGTAAAACTGTAGAATTTGTTCCAATAAGCCACTATATTACATTATTCTTACCTTTTAATATAAAACATATATCATCATTTCATTGCTATTCTTGATTAAGCATGATTTCTGCACCTATCCATCTCTCTGTTGTTTCATCCACCCATCCATCTACCATCTTTCTTTAAAGACAAGAAAAGAATACTTACTGTCACTAGGAGTACCCTGTTCTAATAAAAATTGCTGTCCTTCACTCCACTGCCTCTCCAAAAGCTGTTCTATGCTGGCTGCTACCGGAGGCAGATTTTCCAAACTGCTGTTGCTTGGTGGATCATAGCGAATCTGTAAGCTGCTTACAGGGGATCTGTTGAAAACATTAATTCTCGGGTTAAACAGCAGAACCCTTCAAAGGAGAGCACATTCACACTTCTCACCTTATGCTGACCCTTTTCCTGTACAAGTTTTCTAACACCAAGCAGCCTATGCTAGAACAATCAAACCATAATCTACTAAATTTAGTAATTATCATTATTCCTCCTCAAATTGCAAAACCAAAGGACTAGCTGGCCATACTTGATAATTAAAAACCACTAGAAAAATATAAATACATTGACAATAATATCTGAAATAGGCTATACAAGAACTTGATATAGGTTTATAAGACTTTAACCTAATTAACCAGAAAAGAGCCCCACCATTCTGCTTTAATATGCAAAATATTAGAGTTATAATAATGTAGTATGTATTTTAATGTAGAATTTATTTTAATTTACAACAAAAGCTCAATCAAATATTAGTAAACAGATATTTTTAATAATTTTGAAGCCTTTTATTCTAAATCTAAAATACCTTATTTGTAAGTATTTTCAGTATTAAGGAACATTATCAAAAACAAAGCAATTTTTATTTGACAAATGTTTCTAAAATGTCATATCTGCATTTCAGATGACATAATTACACTTCCAAAACAAGTATCTCTCAATATAAAAGGCTAATATGCAAAGAGTCCCTTGGGAGTTTGATGGGGAGTTCAATTGCTCGCTATGACATGCGTTGACCACTGGGGTGGGGTGGGGGGTGGCGCAGGATGAAGGAAGGCCCTGGCCAGCAGAAGGAAGGCCCCATTGCTGGCCAGGCATAGGGACTCTACTTGTGCTCTGGGCCTCTAGTTACTTATATTGAAATGAACATGCAATGTTCTCCTTCACCCACTTTTTTGTTTCAAATTAGTAAATGTGGCTATTTCTAGTTCCCAGCTTCCATATTAACGTAACACATTAATAAAGGGTTTTAGAGTACCCAAAGTGTTTCCACATAACCATCTCATATGATTTTCTCAATAACCTAGTAATAAGTCAAAGCCTGGATTACTGGCTCTATTTCTATCTGATAAAACAAATGGGACTTGAGTGTCTTGATCAAAGACACAAAACTGATTAATGACAGAGTTTGGGTTATAAGGCAAGTCTTCTAACTACCTTCTGTTGTTTTGCAACTGCCTTAAAATGTTTCTCTAGACAAATATCTTTAAATAAGAAGTTAAACAAATGAGGCTTTTTATTCCATATAAAAATACCATGTGCTATATACATTTGGCTAATAACTAACACATATCCTCCCCAAACTTTCAAAAAAATCCAAGAGGAAGAAACACGTGCAAGCTCTAATTCCAAAAACCAGATAAAGACACTACAAAGAAAATTACAGTAACATCCCTGATGAACACAGATGCTAAAATCCTCAACAAAATATTAGCAAATCGAATCCAGCAATATATTAAAAAGATCATACATCATGACTAGTGGGATTTATTTCAGGAATTCAAAGCTGGTACGATATTAACAAATCAATAAATTACATAACAAACTGAAAGACAAAAATTGTATCAATAGATGCAGAAAAAGCATTCAACAAAATCCAACACACATTTTTTTAAAGTATATTTTTTTCTTGATTTCAGAGAGGAAGGAAAAGGGAGAGAGAAAAATCATTGATGATGCCAAGATTGGTTGGCTCAGTGGATAGAGCGTCGGCTTGTGGACTGAAAGGTCCCGGTTTCGATTCTTGTCAAAGGCATGTACCTTGGTTGCGGGCACATCCCCAGTATGGGGTGTGCAAGAGGCAGCTGATCGATGTCTCTCTCTCATTGATGTTTCTAACTCTCTCTCTTCCTCGCTGTAAAAAATCAATAAAATATATCTTAAAAAAGAAAGAAAGAAAGAAAGAAAGAAAGAAAGAAAGAAAGAAAGAAAGAAAGAAAGAAAGAAAGAAAGAAAGAAAGATAGATCAATGTGAGAGAGAACCATTGATCGGCTGCTTCCTACACGCCCCCTTCATTGATGATTGAGCCTGCAACCCAGGCCTGTGCCCCAATCCAGGAACCCTTCAGTCCTCAGTCTACTGAGCCAAACCAGCCAGGGCCCAGCACCTATTTTTGAATAAAAACTCTTAGCAAAGTGGGGACAGAGGGATCATATCTCAATATAATAAAGGCCATATATGAAAAACCTACAGAAGAATGTAAAATTGTTATTATCTACAGATGACATGATATTGTACATAGAAAACCCTAAAGACTCCCCCAAGAAACTACTAGATTTAATAAATGAATTTGGCAATATAGCAGGATAGAAAAATAACACCCAGAAATCTATGGCATTTAAAAAAAAATCCTCACCCGAGGATATTTTCCCATTGATTTTTAGAGAAACTGAAAGGAAGGGGAAGAGACAAAGAAAGACAAACATCAGTCTGAGAGACATTGATTGGCCCGTCGCCTCCCCCCCATGTACTCTGACTTGGGCTGGGGATCAAACCTGGGACCTTCATTTTGAGGGCTGATGCTCTATCCATTGAATCAAATTGGCTAGGGCTTGATGGCATTTTTATTTTATTTTTATTTTTAATATATTTTTATTGATTTTTTTACAGAGAGGAAGAGAGAGGGATAGAGAGTTAGAAACATCAATGAGAGAGAATCATCGATCAGCTGCCTCTTGCACACCCCCTACTGGGGATGTGCCCGCAACCAAGGTACATGCCCTTGACCGGAATAGAACCTGGGACTCTATCCACTGAACAAAACCGGTTTTGACTTGATGGCATTTTTATACACCAATAATGAACCCTCAGAAAGAAAAATTGAACGAACAATCCCTTTACCATTGTAAAAAATAAATTAAGACACTTAAAAATAAACTTAACCAAAGAGGTAAAATACCTCTATTTGGGAAGCTACAGAATGTTGAAAAAAGAGAAAGAAGATATAAGTGGGAGAATATACTATGCTCATGGACTGGTAGAATTAACATCACTAAAATGTCGATACTACCCAAAGGAATATACAGATTCATTGCAATCTCTATTAAAATACCAATGGTATATTGCCTGGCCAGCATGGCCCAGTGGTTAAGTGTTGCCCTATGAACTAGGAGGTTACAGTTCAATGCCTGATCAGGGCACATATCTGGGTTGCAGGCTCGATTCTCAGTGTGGGGCACGCAGAGGCAGCTGATCAATGATTATCTCTCATCACTGATCTCTCTCTCTCTCTCTCTCTCTCTCTCTCTCTGCCCCTTCCTCTCTGAAGTCAATAAAAAAATATTTTAAAAAATGGCATATTTCACAGATCTAGAGCAAATACTCCAAAAATTTATATGGAACCAAAAAAGATTGAATAACTGCAACAATCTTGAGAAAGAACAAAGTTCGAGAGGTCACAATACCAGATATCAGGCTATACTATAAAGCCACTGTAATCAAAACAGCTTGGTACTGGCACAAGAACAGGCATATAGATCAATGGAACAGAACAGAGAACTCAGAAATCAACCCAAGCCATTATGCTCAGTTAATATTTGACAAAGGAGGCAAGAGGGTACAATGAAGTAAAGACAGCCCTCTAATAAATGGTGTTAGGATAATTGGACAGGTATAAGCAAAAAATTTAACTAGACCACCAACTTACTCCATATACAAGAACAAACTAAAAATGGATAAAAGATTTAAATGTAACTCATGAAACTATAAAAATCCTGGAAGAAAATGTAAGCAGCAAAATATCAAACATCCCATGTAGCATAAAAATGTCTAGAATAAGAGAAAGGAAGGGAAAATAAACAAATAGGACTACACTAAAATAAAAAGTTTGGCAGAGCAAAAGTAACCATCATCAAAATGAAAAGGGAACCCTCTTATAGGGGAACATAAGTGCCAATGATACATCTGATAAGGTGTTAATTTCCAAACATACGAAGTACTGGTATCAACAAAAGGAAGACAAATCAACAAAAAGAAGACAAATAATACAAATTAAAAATGAGAGAACCTAAATAGACACTTCTCCAAAAAGGACATACAAATGGCCAAGAGACATATGATAAAAAGCTCAACATCACTAATCATCAGAAAAATGCAAACTAATCCAATAATGAGGAATCACTTTACACCTGCCAGCAGAAAGGCTTCTACCAACAAACAAAAAGTGCTGGTGAGGATGTGGAAAAAAATGAAACCTAATACATTGCTGGTGGGAATGCAGACTGGTACAACCACTGTAGAAAACAATGTAGCTCTGGCTGATTTGGCTCAGTGGATAGAGTGTGGGCCTGGCCTGCAGGCTGAAGAGTCCCAGGTTTGATTCCAGTCAAAGGCACATGCCTGGGTTGTGGGCTTGATCTCCAGTGGGGGGCGTGCCAGGGGCAGCCAGTCAGTGATTCTCTCTCATCATTGATGTTTCTATCTCTTTCTTCCTCTCTTTCCTCTGAAATCAATAAAAATATATTTTAAAAAAGAAAGAAAAGAAAACTTTCCTCAAAAAATTAAAACCAGGATTGCCATTTGACCCAGTAATCTCATTGCTAGGAATATAGCCTAAGAAGCCTGAAATACCAATTAGAAAGAATATATGCACCCCTATATTCATAACAGCATTATTTATAATAGCTAAGACCTGGAAACAGCCCAGATACCTATTCATAGATGAGTGGATTAAAAAGTTGTGGTACATTTATAGCTTGAAATACTATGCAGCTATAAAAAAGAAGGATCTTAAAATTTCCAAAAGCCTCCTAATATTTAAACCAAAAAAGGGGGAAAGTAGAAGAATATCATGTAAGGAGAAATATCCTGAAAGTAAATTACAGCTAGAAAATTTGTACTTTAGAAAATTAATTGTAATGCTATCAGCAAAACACCCAAGAAAAATACATATGGTGTCAAAACAAGCCAGAGGAAAATCATTTGGGCAAAAAAGGAAAAAGGATCCCAAGTCAAATTTATAGAAAATATTCCTTTATTAACTTTTGGTCAAGAATATGTTTGTATATTTCCATGTGGATTCTGGCAACAGAGAGGAATTGACAGGACTGCTCCAGCCATGAAGACAGAAGAGAAGCAGTCCAGAGATGGAAGTTGCTGATGACACCTTGCCATAATAGCAATCAGCAGCTGTATCACTGCAGGTTGCCCAGGACCAAACCAGAGAGGGTTGGACCTGCATTACCACCATTTGCCCACCATCCAGAACTGAAATATCATTGCTGACATGTACACATAAGGAACTGTTTGACATTGAAATTGGATCTCAAAAGAAAGAAGCTCATTACAGACTGATTCATATGCCATTCAGCGTAACGATTATTACTTGTCTCATTTTTTTATTCTTATATTTCCAGTAGGACATGATCTCACTCATCTAGGGGAAATGGTGAATAACATAGACTGATGAACAAGAACAGACCCAGAAATAAGGAGCCATGGGTCAGACTGTTGGACCTCAAAGGGAGGGTGAGGATAAAAGGGAGAGATCAACCAAAGGATTTGTGAGCATACATATGAGCCTAACCAGTGGTCAAGAACAATAGTGGGGTGGGGGCATAAGGGGAAGTGGAGGATTAGAATGGGGGGTTGAGGACAAATACGTGATACCTTAATCAATAAATAAATACTTAAAAAAAAAAAAAAAAAAGAAGGATCTCTTACCCTGTGAGACAGCACTGAGGAACCTAGAAAGTATTATGCTAACTGAAATAAGCTAGTCAGAGAAAGACAAATATCACATGATCCACTTTTACATGTAATCTAATGAACAGAATAAGCTAGCAAACAAAATAAATCCAGAGACATGAAAACATGCAACAGACTGACGATTTTCAGAGGGAAGAAGGGAGGAGATTAACCAAAGAATTTATATACATATATGCAAAATCCTGACGAGGGGGAGGAAGTGAGGAGAAAAGGGACAATGGAGTGGGAAAAGGGGACATCTATAACACTTTCAACAAAAATAATTTAAAAAAAAAAAAAAACTATGTAGAAAAAAGGCACTGCTAGATATACTACCACCTAGAAAATACAAAATTTGAGATTACTGTACTAATCTCTTTAATGACAAATGTTTCTTAATAGAACTTCCCTGATGATATCAGCAACACAGTAACATTGATACTCATGGCAGTTATCACATAGAAATTTTAACTTTTTTAAAAATCCTCAACTGAGGATATCTTTTCATTGATTTTCAGAGAGAATAGAATTGAGAGAGGAAAGGAAAGAGAGAGAAAGAAACATTAACATGAGAGAAACACATTGATTGTTAGTTGCCTCCCCAACTGGGGCAAGGCACTGATCCTGCAACTGAGGTTCGTGCCTTTGACCAGGAATCAAAGACCCTTCGGTCCGTGGACTGGCACTTTAACCACTGAGCCAAACCAACCAGGGCTAAAAATTTTAATTTTCAACAGAATTTTTTAAAATTCCCATAGAACATTTTTAGTTTGCCATGGTTGAAAAGAATTTTCTAAAATGGGCTTTTTTTCTCCTTCTGCTCTCCATTCTCACCCAGTCTAAATCCATACTTGAGGCAGAACTTACAAGATTAGAGGACAGAGAGAAAGCAAACCAGAAGAAGGTATAGAAAGTGAAAGTGGAATAGAATTAGTAAAACACGGTTTCCAACATTTCCTACTATTATTCTCCCCATTGAGATAGAAGATTTGGGGTACTTAGATTGTGCTAAGAGAAATTCAATCTTTCAGTACAACTCTGATTAGGAGTGTCCTAATAAAGGGTACCTGAAACAGTTTCAAAAAATAATGTAACACATTTGCTATACTTTGATTCAAATAATTCTAAGAACTAGAGGGATTTCAGAGATGAATCACAAGAACTTCTTTTACTAAATTAGGAACTAAAGACTAAAGGTTTAAGTGAATTGCCCACAACAGAACTAAAACTGGAAGCTAAAGTTGAAAGCCTTGATTCTGTAGCTTTAAGAGACTTGAAGACTATTTTTATGAGCAAAAAGAATTACTCAAACTAATACATTAATAGTACCAGCAGCAAAATACATAAATAATAAAAACAAGATAGTTCAAATTGATTGGAAATATAAGAAGCTTAGAAAACTGTGTTTAAATTAATATTAAAATTAATTCAGAATCATTTTTCTTGACTGTCCAAACATGCTTCCTATCTTCAGAGTGCTTCTATAGCCGCATAGATGTACACTATGCTGATACGAGATAGATGTTTCCAATCTCAAAATGTTTCCTGTGCCCATACTGCACAGTGTAAATAATGCTTACCTGGGTGAGAGGCTTCCTCGGGGTGAGCTTCCTCTGCCAACGAGGCTGCGGCTATTGTCTCCAAGATCCTGATCTGCAGGGTAAATATTTTATAGCTGATAGGTGACTCTCCAGATAAGAGATTTTAATCTCTTGTCTGATTTTTCCCTAAGACCTTTAGCACTATCTTTGTATTTACTATAAAAGTAAAAGATCTAGTATGTTGCTAGCAGTTTAAAATTGCTGAACTGTGGCATGTAAGGTGTTGTCTCTACATGCTTCTGTGGGTGTAGAAGGCTTGGATTATGTTTTGTTCTTTCATTCCTTTCAATTTTACAGCACAGAAGTGTGGTTTGCATTTGCAGTACCCTCCCCTCAGCCACTTTTAATTTCTATGGTTAAAGTAATGAATCACAGTGGTGAACTGGTAATCTGCATGCTTATCACAGCAAAGCCTTACACTTTGTTTTTAAACACTTTGCAAACCAAGAGAAGTAATAAAATACATAATGTATTACATAGAGCCACACACCAAGATTTAAATCATATATATAAATTACATGGAACCTCACATCAAGAATAATATTAAATATACAAATTGACAAAAATAAGTAGGAACACAGAATTCTGTATTTAAAAGGAAATTTTTATTTTCTTCAAAATAATCCTGAGATCACAGAATATCTCTGCTTGAAAAGTAACTTGTATTTCCTAGTTAATTGCTTATAAAATCACCCTATCTGGCCTCTTTCAAGGTTGTCCTCCCCTTATTCAGAGTCAGATAACCTTTCACCCTTAAAGGGTAAAGACATGACTGATCCATTCTTGGTGAACTGCTAAACCCATTCCCTTCCCCCAAACAGGCATGACTACTTGGACATGTCAACAAATCCTTAAGGAAGGAATGAAACAAAGCAAACCCAGCAACTCATTAAAATAGTACAAAAGGCAATGCTACAAAATGTCCAACTGGTCAAAATTCACAGGATTACTAAACACTGTAGAAATTCTCTAACAGGATTTTTTTTTTTAACCAAGTTTATGTAATGCGATTTCATGAATTATGTAAATAAAGGTTTAGGCTATTCACCAAAAAGCCCAGTGTTAGGATACTTTCATTGCATAGAACTGAGAACTGAACACATCAATCACAGCAGTCACAGGAGACATTGTTGCATTCCTGCCTGCTGATGCTTCTGCTTAAACATTTACATTTCAGAGAGTGAAAAAGGCACATAACTATTTTGCAGCACAGCATACTACTTACTTCCAACTGTGATTCTTCTCATAAAGAAAAAAAAAGGCATAATTCTGTATTAAGCACACCTTTAGACGTTTCAAATAAAATAAGCCATTAAGGGGGAAATTTCATTGGGTAAGAGGGATAGAATTTTAGAGTTTAAAAATTTCTTGAAAACTTACCTGTTTGAGTGTTTTCAGACTGAGCTATAAGAGCTGCCATTGAAGAATTTGTATTTAATCTATTGCCATACATATGAGATGGTGCCTGACTAAGAGAAGATCCAGATAGGGCATTTGCCTAAATAAAAAGAATTATAAGGATAAGTGAATTATATTTGAAAAATCTTAATACTTTTCCTCCTGATGGACCTAATAACTATTTACTCCAAACTACGAATATAAGCAAAAATTCATAACTATCTAAAGAGCAAATTTCATTCTCACTTGTTTTACCATTACAATATTTCAGTTTTTAAAGTTACATAACTCCATTTTTTTTTTTAAAGGACCAGAACATTCAGAGGTAACTATTTCTGCTTTAATTTCCAAGTATGCAGTCAGTATCAAAACCCGGTGGCATGGTAAGCATGTGAACATAAGACTATTTAATCTTATTAAACCACTATAAAATAAGGGCAGGTAGACAAAAGATGTCTTAACATGCTTTTTAGTCTCTTACATCATAGGATGCTAAGGAGGTCAAAACGTCCAATACCTATTTTTAGTATTTTAACTTTACAGAGTCTTATTTCCATTAACTGTCATTAGTAAAACCTGCACACTATTTTGTTACTTTCTATTTTGGTAGACTTGGAAGCCTGCTGCTTTTTCTGTTTTGTTTTTATTTTAAAAGGAAGCAAACAGGCATTACAAGTATGTTTTCTATACAATGTAAGGCTCAAGGAATCACAGCTTTGCTCTGACCCCATATAAGCACTGTCTTTTTGGCAGGAAGCCAGTTCTACTAACTGAAGAGCTGGTCCAAAGTCTGTGATTCATTCATGTAGCTGACCACAGTTCTGAAGGCCTCGACTGGGACTTGTGCCAAACAAGCGAAAATGAACCCTTAAACAGATGAAGCTAAGGAGGCTGGCCAAAGTCTTGCGTAATCCATTGTAATAAAAATGCCTTCTTTGATGTGGACAGTTTCTCCCACTTTCCAAGAATAGTATATATTATATAACCTTAAAATGTGGCATTTTTGGAAGCAAATTTCTGGTACACAAAATACTGTCATATTCACAGAAGGCTATTACTAGCCTGAAATACTCTTCAGATTTTACAGAACCACAAAATTTAAAATACACTTCATATTCTTTTTCATGAATGAAATCAAACAAGTTTTTATAAAACGAATCACTGTATAGTTATTTCAGAACGAAATTCTGAAAAATAATTTCAAGTATTGAAGCACATCTAATATAAAGAAGTTAAGTAACAGCAGAACAAAGATGTGGAATATTTTGAAATGTATAACTACACACAAGAGACCAAGACAACATAGTAGTTATAAAAAGCAAAATCTTTCAGAGCATAAACAATGTTTCTGGAAAGACTCAGACCCTGACATTATATCTGGCCTCTATACAACTTACTAAGCAAGAAAATTTGACTTTAAATTCATAGTCTTCTTGATGCAGAATCATGCCTGTCCTTGCTTTCCATTGTTTCAATGGTATATTTCACAGTTCATACTTAAATGTCTAAGATCAATTGGTCAATTTCTGGGTTTCGTTTTTCCTTTTATTAAAGATATGTATACAAAGTCAGTAAGTTTGTACTGTAAAGTCCTATTTAACCATCAACTAGCTTTAGTAAAAGGTAAGTCATATTTTTAACCTGACGATACTAGATATTTATCATGTATTTAGTATTATACACATAAAATATATATTTCATAAGTAAAAATATAGTGAGATTTAAAAAAAAAATTTTTTTTTTCTTTTACCTCCTCAGAAGTCAAATACTTGGGAATCTTGGCTACTTATCAAATAACTTAGAAAAAGAAAAATTCAAATGAACAAAAAGACCAGATGTTACCAGGGACATGAGTTAAAATCTCAGGTATCTTATACTTAAAAATGCCTTTCACTGAGCCTAATTATTCTTATTCTAGACATAATTCCAAAAAGATCAACTAAGCATAAAAAAAGATTAGAAATGGAAAATTAATTAGAGGAAGAAAAAATAGTATATCTTAAGACAGTTTGTTGGCAGTAAGAAGTAACAGCTGACAGCAAAAGAAGAAAAAAAAAATATGAGCAAGAATAAACATACAGAGTTCTGGTGGGGTGGTGCTCAAAGAACATAGCTATCTAGATGCTTTAGCCTTTAAAAAGAATCCCACATGTTTCTATTGACTAGAGAGAGGAAGGAAGAAGGACAGAGAGGTAGAAACATAAATAAGAGACAGAAACATTGACTGGGTGCCTCCTGCACATCCCCTATTGTGTACTGAGCCCATAACCCAGGCATATGCCCTGACAAAAACTGAACCAGTGATCTCTTGGTTCATGGGTCAATGCTCAACCACTGAGCCACACTGACCAGGCTGTATCTTAGCATTTTGATTCTCCTTGTTCATGCAGTCATCTTTTACTGAATCAGAACTAATATTACTATACCAGTTGGATTACTTTCTTAGTTCCAATTATCAGTTTTATGAGCTGCCTTAGCCCCTTGGTAATAACAAAAAGATCCTGTCTGCCTGGTGCGGCTGGTGGTTGGCTTCGATCTAAGCACCAGAAAGTCGCTGGGCTGCTATCTGGTCTGGGCACTTGCCCAGATTGGGGGCTTGGTCCCCAATAGGGGGCATGCAGGAGGAAGCAGATTGATGTTGATCTTTCTCTCTCATCGATGTTTTTCTCTCTTCCTCTCCTTCTCTCTCTCTCTCTCAAAATAAATAAATAAAAAATCAATAAAAATATATTAAAAGAAATAAGTCAAAAGATCCTACACTCTAATCAGAAATACATCCTTTTTCAGGAAGGGTTCCTTCCATCAAGGGCTTTATATTTACCTATTAGCTTCAAATTTCTTGATGTAGTCTCCAAATTATCTTAGCTTGCATATCACACACTGGACTCACTTTACTAAAAATTCAAAATGCAAAGTAGAACAGCAGCCCATGTTACCTGCTTAACATGATCAGCATAATGATTATTATCAAGAAAAGGGTAAGTCATCTTTAACATAATCCAAAGCAGAAAAGTATATATTTTATAAAGATGGCAGGCAAAAGTAAATTAATAATAATAAACTAAAATGGGAATGCATTCTTAATTGTCCTAAATGACCAATTTCCCAATTTTCTGAATGGGTAAAAATGATCTGGTAGTAGTTTTTAAATTATTGCATTTATCTAAATGAGAAACTTTCAAAAGAGATAAAAAAAATAAGTTATTAATTTTACCAGGTAGAGTTTTGTGGTGTATTAAAACATCTAAACTATTCTATATTAAAACTCAATTCATTAACATATCATGTTAAGCAGATATGAGCCACCAAAGACTCCAAAATGACTGACACGGTTTAGTCACTACTTCTGAAATTATGTTTAGAATGGTTAATGCTGAGAACCCTTAATAACTGTTGGCACCATAGGTAGGGCCAAAAAAAACCTCCAACATGTTAGTGAAAAGATTCCATAACTGAGCATCAATGAAGGAGGTTACCTAAGAGAGTAGAAGAAAAAAAAAAAGAGACCTTACTGAGAAGAATGAATAATGCCTGGCAATGTGTAGATTCAAAAATTTTTGTTGTCATTAATAAGTATAATCACTAAGATTGAGGGGGGAATGGAAGGCTCTCCATGTGAACCTAAAGAAACAGTGGTTATGAGGCATAAAGAGCACTCAACACTTTTATATAAAATAAATATGGAACAAGGAATAAAGGAAACAATATGCACACATTTCTCCACAGTATACTTTGGACATGGACTTTAAACAGTACATGGAAAGCAAATTACTAATGTATCATAAGTCTCCTTCAGAAAACCTGATATAAAGACTAGGAATATTCTTCACTTCTGGGGGGGTGGGGGGGAGCTCCCCTCCCAGTTTTCTTGGTCTACATTTGTTTTTTTTTAAGTATTTGATCAAGATATGAATATAATAAATGTTTTCCTCTTTAGCTATACTATCAGAACAACAAAATGTAAGTACCAAGTCAAGCAACTGAGAACTAAGGCCAATTTTAGGGTATACAAGAGAGGACTATACTGAACAGGAGCGTGTGAGTCCTACCAAGAAGGGTTAACCATTACTCAGGTACAGTCCCTGGTTGACACATAGAAATGATGGTCCATAGTTACCAACTTTTCTAATTTTTAATTTTAAATGTTGACAGGAAATTTAAATTTAAAAAAATACACATATGAATATGTTCCCACAAAAATTCGTACATGAATGCTCACAGGGGCATTATTCTTAATAGCTAAAAAATGGAAAGGAATCAAATGTCTATTAATTCAAAAATGGATTAACAAAATGTGGTTTAAAAAAAAAAAAGGACTGGCAATTCTTTATAGAGGGCAGTACCTACTTATGACCTGTCAATTTTATCTTGCCCAAGTAAGGAAAATGGCTATGTGGACAGATATCCTCCTTGGATCTACTGGCACTATAAGAATATGAGTTGTTAACATTGAGGGAAGGGTATCCATGATATATGTGAAATTTACTCTGTACTGTTTTTTGTAACTTTTCTATACATCTAAAATTTTTTCAAAATAGAAAGTTAAAAAAAAAAGAATATGACTACAAACTAGGTACTTGACTTTATATTGTCCCACTGAAATAGTCATCTCAAAATGTGAAAGTAGGTGTTAGATTAGTTCAAATAGAATTATAAATTCATATTGCAATAATAAACATTTGATTTAATTTCCAATATATGTTATCTTTGAAAAGAAGTTTTTTTGTTCTTTTCCCCGAGATTAATAGTTGAAAGGAACCACTTCCACTCAAGATGTTATATTATACTTACTCTAATAACACTTTTGTAAAAGCATAATTATTTTTAAAAAAAATATATTTTATTGATATTTTTACAGAGAGGAAGGGAAAGAGATAGAGAGCTAGAAACATCGATGAGAGAGAAACATCGACCAGCTGCCGCTTGCACACCCCCTACCAGGGATGTGCCCGCAACCAATGTACATGCCCTTGACTGGAATTGAACCCGGGACCTTTCAGTCCACAGACCGACGCTCTACTATTGAGCCAAACCGGTTTCAGCAAAAGCATAATTATTTTACAAGATAGAGCCAAGGTCAAGCAGAGTAAGAATAAGCTG